TACATAGACATACATGCAGGCTAAACACCAACACACATAAGATAAAAACAAACAAACAACAAAACAAAACCCCGAATAGCCAGGCTGGATAGATGGCTCAGCAATTAAGAGTATTGGCTGGTTCTTCCAAAAGATTCAGGTTTGATTCTGACCAGTACCCACAAGTCGGTTCACAGCTGTCTATAACGCCAGTCCCATTGGATCCAAAACCTCTGGCCTCCCTGGGCACCAGGCACGTGCTTGGTGCACATATATACATGCAGGTAAAACACCCTTACACATGAGTGCTGGGAATCAGAATCAAACATGGGTCCTCTGTACTCCTAACTACCAAGCCATATCTCCAGCTCCATAAAAAGAAATAAGTATTAAAAACAACAAAGAACCGGCCATGTGTGGTAGTGCTTCTTTTGTTGTTGTTGGTTTTTGTTTTTTTTGAGGCAGGATTTACTCTGTGCAATAGTTCTGGCTGTCCTATGGAACTCACTTCATAGACCAGGCTGGCCTTGAACTCACAGAGATCTGCCTGCCACTGCCTCCCAAGTGCTGGGATTAAAGCTGTGAGCCACCACCACCCAGCCTGCAGTGCATATCTTTAATCCCAACAATCAAGACAACATCTTTGAGTTTGAGGCCAGCTGATCATATATCAAGTTGCAGGAAAGCCAGTACTAAGTAGAGACCCTGTCTCAAACAAACAAACAAACAAACAAACAAAATCCTGAACATCCAGCAAAAAAGACACCTCGAGTCAGTTGTTATTTTAAGTGGTTTGGAAAAAGGAAACGAAGAGTTAAAGTAGGGTTTATTTGTTTAGTTTTTAAATGGGAGGAGGGGGGCTTTGTGCATATGAGTGCAAATTCACCCACTCTGTTTTACTGACTGGATCTCTTACGATGGAAACTTAGAGGTCAAGACTTCGACTACTTCCTGTGTTGCTCAGTCTCCTTCAGCTCCTCCTAATCCTAGACGAGCTACATGCATCGTGCAGAGGTGTCAGCTGCAGATCACCTCTGATATTGAGGCCATCCTTTCATGAGTACCTTTGTGTCAAATCTGCCCCTTCCTGACGAACCACTCTATTTTCAATTACTCATTGTTTTTTAATATTTATTTATTTATTATGTATACAATATTCTGTCTGTGTGTATGCCTGCAGGCCAAAGAGGGCACCAGATTCCATTACAGATGGTTGTGAGCCACCATGTGGTTGCCGGGAATTGAACTCAGGACCTTTGGAAGAGCAGGCAATGCTCTTAACCTCTGAGCCATCTCTCCAGCCCTCAATTACTCATTGTTTTATTGGAGGGGCTTAAACACAGGTGATTAGTCTCATAAGAAGCTATTAGTCTTAGAGACCAAATAAGGGTCTTGCTTATAACCTATAGAAGGAGCCATTTCCTTTGTCCACATGGTAGAGCTTTTATTTCAGTATTTTTGAGAAAAGTTCTCACAATGTAGCCCTGACTAACCTGATATTTGCTATGTAGTTCAGGCTGGGCACAGACTCATGGTTGTCTTTTTCTTTAAGCCTCTGGAGTGCTGGGACTAAAAATGGGCCATCTTTGTTGTTCTTTTTTAGATCATGTCTTGCTGAATTTTTAATTTTTTTTTTTTTGAGACAAGTTGTCTCTATGTAGCTTTGGTGCCTGTTCTGGAACTTGCTCTGTAGACCAGGCTAGCCTCGAACTTACAGACATCCTCCTGTTTCTGCCTCCCGAGTGCTGGGATTAAAGGCATGTGCCACCACTGTCAGGCTGAATTTGTAATTTTTAAGAAGTTTTATAAGCCAGGAAGTAGTGGTGCATGCCTTTAATCCCGGCACTTGGGAGGCAGAGGCAGGTTAGTTCGAGGCCAGCCTGGATACAGAGCAAGTTCCAGAAAACCCAAAGTTACACAGAGAAACCCTGCCTTGAAAAACAACACAAACGAAAGTTTTTTATGGGAACGAGTGCTTTGTATGTATATACGCATGTGCATCACACGTGCGCAATGCCTGTAAGAGAGCACAAGATCCCTGGAAATGGACTTCGAGATCGTTGTGTGCTTCTGTGTGGGTGCTGGGAACTGAATGCAGGTCTTCTACAAGAGCAGTAAATGCTTATAAGTGCTGAGCCATTTCTCCTGCCCCTAAATTTAATACACACACACACTATAGTTAATTTTGAACCTTTAGTGAGAAATATGAATACACACAGGCACACACACTATGGAGCTCAAGAACCCCATTGCTCGGTGCATCATTGAGAGGAGGTCAGGGTCACAGACTATACAACAGACATACATGGTCACAAAATGCCAAAGTGGTGGCTAGCAAGACTCAGTCTCCTGTTGTGTGATATTTTGTGTTCTGACAAATAAAGCTTGCCTGGAGATCAGAGGGCAGAGTTAGTTATTAGTTAACCATAGAGGCCAGACAATGGTTATACACACCTTAATTCCAGCACTTGGGAAGAAGCAGGAAGATCAGGAGTTCAAGGCCACTCTGGACTACCTAAGATTGAACCTGTCTAAAAGAGAAACAGCCAGGCAGAGGTGGTTCACACCTTTGATCCCAGAACTCAGGATCTCTTTGGTCCCAGTACTTGGGAGGCATAGCTATTTAATCCCAGCACTAGGAAGGTGGAGACAGGAATGTAAGGCAGGTGGAGAAGGATTTCAGTTCCATTCAGTCCGAGGATTCAGAGATGGGATTGACGGGATTGACGTCATTCTTTCTAAGCCTCTGTAGAGGTAAGAACTTGCTGGTGGGTGACTGCTCGCATCTCTGACCTTTCAGCTTTCACTCTCACTGTCTGATTGGGTTTTTATTGTTAAGACTAATTAGGACTGTGCTTCAGTCTCCGCGTCATGCAGCAGCATTGGGGATCCCAAGGTGGACTGGGGAAACATGATCAAATTCTTTTTTTTTTTTTTCGAGACAGGGTTTCTCTGTGTAACAGCCCTAGCACCCTAACTGTACTGGAACCAGCTCTTGTAGACCAGGCTGGCCTCAAACTCACAGAGATCCTCTGCTTCCCGAGTGCTGGGATTAAAGGCGTGTGCCACCACTGCCCGGCACATGATCAAATTCTGGGCACTACAGATGTGTGCTCTAAAGCACAAGCATCTCAAGCAACATGTGTACATCTTCCTCAAAAATGTCTCGTCATGCTCATAGCCCGCATTCAACTCTTTGGGTTCCTTGGCCAGGTTTAAGGTGTCACCTACTGCCACCAAATTAGGCTGAACTTCATGATGTTTATTCAGACGTTGGTGGACACTGGGAAGCCATATGTGCCTATGCTGTGGCACATGCAGGCCCCGGAGATTGTAGGTGAACAGCATTATGTTGCCATACTGGAGCTTGAGAGTGACTCTAAATTTTTGAAAAATTTATGTGTGTGTGTGTGTGTGTGTGTGTGTGAGAGAGAGAGAGAGCCTTTGTAAGTATATGTACACTATGAGTGTTCATGAAGGCCAGAAAAAGTCAGTCATGAACCTCCATGGAGGTGTTGGGAACAGAACTCTTGTCCTCTGTGTTAGGAATAATTCTTAAGACGAGCCTCTCCACCGATGGAAATAATTCCAGTCAGACCAAATTAGACCAATAAAAGATACCCACGTTTAATGCAGCACTCCTAGGTGGTCCGGAAAGCATGGGGGGGGGGAGACCACGTGAAACCTGGAGACCACTGTGTTCCTTTTCTGGACAGCAGCCTAAATAGGCTGTGGGAGTGGTCAATGCCTGGCAGGCTTTCCCGAGTCTGGACAAAGGCATCTCCTAGGGGAGGGCTTGAAATGGAGCTTCCTGTTCCAGTCCTGCTCCAAGATTGGGTGTCAGGGGCTGGGGTGACACTTTCACCCCAATACTCTGCATGAGCAGAAGGGTTTTAGTCTTTCTTTCCTTTTCTTTCTTTCTTCTTCTTCTTCTTTTTTTTTTTTTTTTTTGAGACAGGGTTTCTCTGTAGCTTTGGAGCCTGACCTGGAACTAGCTCTTGTAGACCAGGCTGACCTCGAACTCATAGAGATCACCTGCCTCTGCCTCCCAAGTGCTGGGATTAAAGGCCTGCACCACCACCGCCCCGCCCTTGGTCACTATTAAGTGCATGCAAGTGTGAGGTATTGGAATTCTAAGGACAACCATTCCACAGTACCTTCAGGGAAAGGGGGCTGGAATTGGTCCTAAGGCTCCAAACCAAAATCCTAGGTTCCATCAAGTCTCTCATAAAATGGCACTGGATAGGTGCAAGTCATCTAAAGAAAGGTGTTCCTCCCTTACTCACTGGAGTGGATCTGTTACCAGTAACTCAAAGGGATAGCTGAAAGTAGTCTGCAGCAAACATACGGATCCTTTGCTGGTACATCACGACTTACATGGATATGTTTTGTCAACTCAAGTACCCAAGTTCACTGGTTGTCCTAGTTTGCTTTCTTCTGCTGTGATAAGAGCATGACAACCAGCAGGTGGTGACAGTCAACTCTGAGGATGGCTCATGTCAAGCCACAGTTGCCTGGAAACTATGATCCTTTTACCTACTCCATTGTCCCCTGAATGTTTTCTCATGCTCTAGGTCAGAGTGGAAACAGCGAAGTAAGGAGATGGTCAGAAAAAAAGATAATTAAAAATATCTCAGCTAAGGGTCTGAGAGACGGCTGCGTGTAGCCGCTTGCTGCCAAGTCCAGTGTCTGATCCTCGGAGCCCACACGTTGGAAGGAAAAAAATCGATCCTGGAAAGCTGTCCTCTGACCTCTATACGTGAGCCGTGGCACACACATGAAAGTTAAGAAAATATAAAATATGTATCTAATAAAGACGGTGGCAGGCTAAATCAGGGGGAATAAAAAAAAAAAAAACTAGATCATTCCTTCAAAAGCCACCTCAGGGCAGTTTCTCCCGGCGCAAGTCAACGCTGAACCGCTAGGAAGCAATTCCTCAGTCTGCGCATTTGTTAGAAGCCTGTTAGCCTCTCCGGCGACCGCGGGTCGACCCCTACCGGAAGTGACGCGACTGCGCAGAACACTTCCGGAGCTGCGGGGACGGCTCCGCCGGAGGAAGCAGCGCGGGCCTGACCCGCGTCCGCCCGCCGCCTCCGCTGCCGCTACGCTCCAGTCAGGCTCTTCTGGCCCAGCTTGACCTCATCTGGCCGGCCTAGGCTCTGCGGCCGCAGGGCCGCGGCTCCC